GGAGAGTGTTCCCTAATTACAGGCAATCAGGCTGATCACTCCCCCTGTGCAGCTGCCAGAACTTCCCATCACAGAGACATGGACCCACAGCTGTGACCCATAAGGAAAACATGCCCATCTATAAATGAGGGCAAACAGAGATGGAAGGGAGGTAGAAAAGCCTGGCATAGTAGAGGGTCACCTACCTCCATTTCAGGCTGTGTCTAAGAAACCCACAAGGAGACAAAAGGAGATGGCAAGCTCTGGAGTTTAAGGGCTGATTGACTCAATTTAAGCTAAGAATTTATGGAGTGGTTGAACTGAAGGGGACCAGGAAAAGCTGGGTCCCTTAGACAGATTGCACCAAGAGCAGCTGACAATGAGTGATTTTGCTTATTTGTTATCTCCTCTGTTATGTCTAGCTGAAGTTGCAGACTAAACAGACAGAGGATATAATGATGTATTTGATGCACTTTTCCCCTCCTCCTCTTCTTCTGTGTCTTTGAGGAGCTGAGCACACTAAGGCAGGGGTTCTTGCAATACATTTTTTGGTGGCCTCAGAGTGTGGCCACCAACTCTTGCTGGTGGCCACTGTGACTTTTTCCCCTAAAAAACTTAATTAACTTTAGGAAAAACAAAATAAATATGCACAGATACACGTCCAAATCATTGTAATGTATCTATGTAGGGGTTTTTTTTGCAGACTCCATCATAAAAATAGTGTACAGTTGTCTCTATTCTTTAGGGGATCTAAACAGAATAGAAACACAAATAAGGTGCTTTGAACATTCTTGTCTTTTTCTTATTGTTTCTTTTTCTTTTTTTTAAGACTTGCTAGCTACTAAGTGTTCTGTGAAAAGTGATACTAACAAACACACAGAGATCACTTTTCACAGCAGACTCACTCAGCCCCAGCAAGCCCAGGGACAAATTAAGCCCTGGATGGGGAGGTGGGTACAGAGGCAGCAGGGGCCAAGGGTGATGGGGCACTGGGGGAAGCAACGGGAGGGTAGAGGTGATGCGGGGGTGAGCTTGGGGCCAGAGTCCATCACCACGCAGCCAGGGAATGGAGCCCGAAGCCCATGCCCAGGGGACAGGGCTTGGGGACAGAGCCCAAAGCCCCAGCGCTGGAGCCTGCCACCCAAGGGCTGAAGCTGAACCCCACTGACTCTGAGAAGGTGGGGAACTCACTGGCTGCCTGCTTCTTCAGCTTGTGTCTCTCCAGAGGGGGGCAGGGCCCAACCACTCCTGGTGGCCCCTGGGGAGGGGCCGCTGCTTTGCGTCCCCCTCCCCCCCATCACTGCCTAGGAGGCTGTGGCCACAAGAAAAGCGGTGGCCTGGTGGCCGCATTTGAGAAACGCTGCACAAAGTACTCAATACATGATAAATCTATTTTATCTTTACGGTGTAAGTGTTTTATCTAGATTGGGCTCAGGCCTGAAGTTTTTACTCCTAGGAAAAACATGGGAATGTTTGCTGCAGTAAGAAAAGCAGGATAGGTTTATATCAATACCATAGAAGAGGGTAATGCAATATTACTGTCTTCTAAACCAGAATATAGGCTACATGGTGATTACTAGAGCTGAGTGAATAATCACAAATCATTTGACAAGTTTACCATTCTTTTCTCATTTGCCAGCTGTCCACAGATCACAATGGTACTGGCCTTGCAATTATCTGTGGACAATTATTTGGGCTATTTACTCTGTGGTAGTAATGATCTTTCACCTTTTTTACCTAACAGCTACCAGATCTTGTAACTACCGAATAATCTACAGGTCATAAAGTTTTGGTGCAATTCTATAATAGTGCCACTTGAAAATCATGCACAGGGCTGTTGTGGAGCCAGAGTGTGAGCTTTTGTGATCCCTCAGTCTCCCATATTTGCATTTGTAAGTCATGCAAGACTCAGGAGACCCAGCAACATTGCAGTCTGGTTCCAAGTAGATTAGTGACAGACAAATTTCAAAATGCTCTATGATTCAGTTTAACTGAATAGATACCCTGAAATATATACACTTAATCCAAACATTTGAGATCTTTTCTTGCTGTCCCCCACTTCTGCATATGCTGTATTTACTCTCCATACTAAGGCTAGCTGGAAAAAAACTCCATTTCCAGAAATAAATGGAGGTTTTGAAATTTGGTTTAATTCCACATGGGGATGAAACCAAGGGCCTTTGAAACTTTTCCCTAAAACCAGAGAGAAGATGATACCCATGCCAGAATAGCCAATAGCCCAGGGGTTAGAACACTCACAGAAGAACATAAGAACATAAGAATGGCCATACTGGGTCAGACCAAAGGTCCATCAAGCCCAGTATCCTGTCTACCGACAGTGACCAATGCCAGGTGCCCCAGAGAGAGTGAACCTAAAAGATAATGATCAAGTGATCTCTCTCCTGCCATCCATCTCCACCCTCTGACAAACAGAGGCTAGGAACACCATTCCTTACCCATCCTGGCTAATAGCCATTAATGGACTTAATCTCCATGAATTTATCTAGTTCTCTTTTAAACCCTGTTATAGTCCTAGCCTTCACAACCTCCTCAGGCAAGGAGTTCCACAGGTTGACTGTGCGCTGTGTAAAGAAGAACTTCCTTTTATTTGTTTTAAACCTGATGCCCATTAATTTCATTTGGTGGCCCCTAGTTCTTATATTATGGAAACAAGTAAATAACTTTTCCTTATTCACTTTCTCCACACCACTAATGATTTTATATACCTCTATCATATCCCCCCTTAGTCTGCTCTTTTCCAAGCTGAAAAGTCCTAGCCTCTTTAATCTCTCCTCATATGGGACCCATTCCAAACCCCTAATCATTTTAGTTGGCCTTTTCTGAACCTTTTCTAATGCCAGTATATCTTTTTTGAGATGAGGGGACCACATCTGTACGCAATATTCAAGATGTGGGCATACCATGGATTTATATAAGGGCAATAAGATATTCTCCGTCTTATTCTCTATCCCTTTTTTAATGATTCCTAACATCCCGTTTGCTTTTTTTGACTGCCACTGCACAGTGTGTGGACATCTTCAGAGAACTATCCACGATGACTCCAAGATCTTTCTCCTGATTAGTTGTAGCTAAATTAGCCCCCATCATATTGTATGTATAGTTGGGGTTATTTTTTCCAATGTGCATTAATTTATATTTATCCACATAAAATTTCATTTGCCATTTTGTTGCCCAATCTCTTAGTTTTGTGAGATCTTTTTGAAGTTCTTCACAGTCTGCTTTGGTCTTAACTATCTTAAGCAGTTTAGTATCATCTGCAAACTTTGCCACCACACTGTTTACCCCTTTCTCCAGATCATTTATGAATAAATTGAATAGGATTGGTCCTAGGACTGACCCTTGGGGAACACCACTAGTTACCCCTCTCCATTCTGAAAATTTACCATTTATTCCTACCCTTTGTTCCCTGTCTTTTATCCAGTTCTCAATCCATGAAAGGATCTTCCCTCTTATTCCATGACTACTTAATTTACATACAAGCCTTTGGTGAAGGACCTTGTCAAAGGCTTTCTGGAAATCTAAGTACACTGGATCCCCCTTGTCCACATGTTTGTTGACCCCGTTATTGACCTGGAATGTGAGAGTTAGCAGAGCAGGGACTTGAACCTCTGACTCCCACATCCCGAGTGAGTGCCCTGGGAAGTTTTTCCCATCTTTCTGGGCTGATTAATATTTAATTATTTATGCAAAGTGAAACAGATCCAACAGCAGAGATTGCGAGAGAAGAATAGTGAGGTTTTGGCAAAGGAATGATTCAGTCTTGCAAAAAAAGAAAACCACACTGAATCTCTACCCAAACATCTAACAAAATTGGAGCTGGGTCAAGCTCCAAACCCAGGAAGTGCAACTATCTCTATAATAGGCCGAATCCAAACACCAAATATGAACATCCTGAACTTTGGGGAAATTTGAATTCGGATTTCAATTTCAAATCTGACTTCTTACGAGTGTTTGGATACAAAGTGTGTGGTTCTGCCCATCTCTAGAGCACATATGACTCTTCTTTTGTTTTAAACGTCCTAAAAAATGTCAGATGGTCACATGACACATTCATGTGTCTATTTTAAAGCAATTTTTTTAAAGGATGGAATAAATCACATGAGATGCAGCTTATTGTCTCTGTAATAAAGAGCTAGCTAGCTAGGTCATTATGATTTAGTTTAGTGCACTGCTAAATCAAAGCACAGAACAATACTGAAAAGTGCTACTGTGAACTCTAACAAATAAACAACAAAGCAAGAGCTGTTAACTTAGATGATTAAACAACATTCAGACCCTTTCTCCCCACATTTTATGTTATAGCTATATATAAACACATGCCACATACAGAGGTACGCACACAGACATATACATCTTAAGACCTTATAACCAGTATTTCCATAGGTTTGGGTTCAGTTCATTATACTGAGGGTTTTGTGTTTGTTACAGGGAATATTCCCCATATGGGTATAGTGATACTGCTGCGTAAGCAATAGAATGCGTAGGCTCTTTGTTCATTGGAAACAAGCATTCAGGTTATCAGTGAGGTTGTACTCTATCTACCCCATTTTTCAGATGACTGTTTGCCCCTTTTGGTAGATTTTTGAAACGTGCATATCTATGATAAAGTGGATGAGGAGGATCTGAATAATTTAACATTGGTATAAACGACATGAAAGCAGCTCCAAAAATTATATTCTTCTTTTTTTGGGAAGTAAATAGCACAAGAGTCTGGTGGATTAAGCCTATACATAAAGATTTGGGCCCAAAAATGAAACAGAAAAGGGAACACTCAGTCTGAAAATATCACCCAGACTATCAAAAACACTGAATATTAGAAAGGAAGTTATCATGGCTGTCTTAAAACTAGTCTTTTTAAGGCACTCTGATTTTGGATTCTGAAAAATCCTTTAAATTAACCTCCCATAAGTAATGTCATGGTCCTTAAAATGTAAGTGGGTGCAACAGAGACAGGATTGTTACCACAACTCCCAGGACACTGCCTGAAAGGATAAGCTCACCTTTGTGTGGGCACAGATTTTCATAGGCAGTTTTTCCCTTGTCATCGACATCTATTTGCTTCCAGCTATGGGGGTATTTCCTACCCATCTTGATCATTACCCTCGGGCCTTGTTTTGTGAGAAAGAGAGAGGTGTTTGCCACCTGGAGGAGCCCTTCTGTGTTGTGGAAGATCCAGCTGGGTGCCCGAGGGCAGTCTATGAAGATGCTGCGGGATGATGCAGCAGAGGACTTGGAGATGCCCAAACACTGGCCAGATCTAACATGGAGCAGCTTCTCATCCTCTGTCCACCTCCACTGCTGGTTTGGATCAGTCAGATTGCACTTGCCCACAATTGCTGTTTTGTCTCCAACAAGACATTGCCGTTTCTGGACATGGATAATCAGAAACCCTTCTGGAAGATGAAAAACCCATAAAAATACAACAAATCATACATGGCCCTTAAAAAATAAATCCCAATGACTTAAAAATAAACCTCTTTTTTTCTCTCTGTTTCAGTATATCTCAGTTTTTATGACCTGAACCAGCAGAATTGATTTTAAAAGCCACAAAATCACAATTGTTTGGTCTGGAAACTGCAAAGGGCAAGAATGCAACAAACCCTTTTTGGTAAAGTTCACCTTGACCTTCTATGTAAAAACCAAAGAAATCAAACTTGAATTAACAGGATATCAAGGGGGCTACTGACTTTCAGCTCACTTCTGAAAAACCCTCTCCCTCTTCAAATACACAGAGATCCATTAGCCTTCCTTACTGTCACCACAAGTTAAATCCACTGTATATGACTACACATTGATTTTTTTTAAGGAAATCATAGTATTTGGAGGGGGAAGGAGGGACAGAAAAGGGGACTTTCCAAAATCTATTTGCCTGTCCAGGGCTATGTTTCATTTATCTTTTACAAAGGATGGGAGCTTTTGACTGATACGAACTCTGTGTATCTTACACTCCTAAATACATTGACTCCTCTTGTCATTATTTTGTAACTATCCCACTACAGATCAGATTGAATGTATACATCCAACATTGAAATGAACAGAAGAAAAATCATTCACTGAAATCAAACTCCCCCAACCCCAAATTCCCCCTTGTTACAGGAACAGGATTGGATGATTCAAAATCAATCTCGGTATCACTTTCAATTTTTTTTTTAAAAAGTCAGTTATTTAGTCAAAGCTTCAGGCTCCACTAGATAAACAAAACCATTTAAAAACAATACGTATGATTTCCTTTGTTTTTTCATTCTCCCTTTCTTATGATGCAGGACATAAGATTTCTAAGTAAGTGCCCCAAGAAGCTTCTGCTTTTGTAAGTTTCACAAAGCCTTAATAAGTAATCTGAATCTCTCCTCAAAGAAACCAGGCTCAGAGCTCAGCCATTGGATTGTCTAGTCCGAGATCTTTTTTAAAAAATGATGTATATACAACATTCAAGGAGAGAGAGTTTATTTTGCTTTGGCGAGAAATCTAAACAGTTCTGGCTTTGTTGGCCCTGCCCTCCCCCCCCCCCCCGCCCCAATCCCTCTTGTATAAACTCAGGCTGAGAAATGGCTCTATTTTCACAGCATTGAATAAGTTTCAGGCAACCCTTGGAAGCCCTGGTTAGTGACAGAATGAGAACTGGAACGGAGGGGGGAACCCAGGAGATGCACTTACCTGAGAGCTTGAAGGCCAGGCAGGTGAAAATCAGGACATGAAATAAAGGATCCATTTTCCACCTAACAACTCCCCATGCTTCTCTTTTAAAAAAAAAACAACAAAAACCACACACACACATACACACACACACACACAAAATCACCACCTCAGATAAGTGAAGCGAAGGCTAGGAAGGAAATGTGCCTTCACAGGGGGAAAAGTCAGTGACGAGCACTTCCTTCTATTCAATAGTTTGGGGGAACTTTTTACCACTTTGTCCTTTCATATGATTCTTCAGAGTTTACTGACTCTGATTTATTTTGGAAAAATCCAAGCAAAAGAGGGATAGATTTTGAAACTACCGAGTCTCACACACAAACAAAAAGTTGTTTCAACATCTGAACAACATACTGGACTAAAAATATAAGGAAAAGGGATCGTAATTTCATGCAATTGACGGTTCACGAAACATTACACGTCTGCAGCTGATTTGGATTGTGCTGAATAAACACACACCGTGCTATCCAGTAAACACCATACGCAGTTTCTGTAATGAAATGTTGTGAGTCCATCAAGCAAAATCACATTATTAAATACGATTTCCAACTCCTCTTTATGAGTTCTGAAAACCATACATGGTGGGAGTGCAAATCTCTGAGTTCTTTACTAAGTCCTTACTCATGTACGCTCCCATTATGGGATCAAGTGATGTTGACTTTGCCTCAGCATCATCTGATCCATTTTGCCTACATACAGTGAGAATCTGCCTTAACTAAAAGCTGAATAAAGGCCTCAGTGATTTGACCCTCCAAATGGTCAGAAGACAGCATGAAATTAACTCGAGCAGATTGGGATACATTTGCCTCATTGTGGTATTATAATAATAGTAATGGTTAATTACTGTATGCAAAAAAAACCTCCATATTCACTAACTATTTTGTATCAAGTGTATTTTATTGTCAGTATGAAGCAAAGTCAACATCATTGAATTAAAAACTGATTTTATCCTGGGTGCAGACTTCCTAGTGCTGTAAGTAGTTATGCTAGAGTCACATTTCTTTTAAAGAACAAATCCGTGCAGAAATATATGGAAACATTCATAGCAGCATTTTCTGTACAACCTCCTGTTACAGAACAATTCATATTTCCAAAGGCGTCCATCTCTTAACAGAAGAGATACAACATGTAGACAACATATTCAAAAAATCCCCTCTTACTAAAAGACAGACAAATATTTAAAATCCTTACCATTTAATATATTCTACAAAGTTTCTTTTAAAAGTAAACTGACTTACACAATTTACAAATACACTGGATTCAGGTCAGGAGCAGAAGCAGCTTCTAACAGTATAGAGTACAATCAACAGTATAGAGTAAATACATACATATACACGGAATAACAGAGGTTGTGCTCTGTAACTGCTTTATAGGACCAACTGTAAATACACATTAAATAGCTAATAGTATGAAGAACAGATATTTCCATATAAAAGGTATAACTGCTTTTGAGCAGGTTCAAAAACAAAAGGACTTTCTTCCCCTTAAATCCATAATTGATCACTTGCAACTTTAGCAGCAAGAGTCTTATGTGGCCAAGAAATAAGCTCACCACATAATATGTAATAGCACTTAACAGGTCCAGTTTAACAGCTGACAGTCCATTCACAAGACAGAGTTGGCAAATGTTAAAGCATTTATACACAGAAAAACATTTCTTCTGCAGAAGTTCCAGTTTCCAGCTGACTGCAACAGTACACCCATACATTCTGTACAGCAGATATTGTTATTACAGAAATAAATCCACCTTTAGCTATATATACGTGAACTCCACATGTAGCATCAGTACCTTCTTTAAAAATCATTTTTGGGACGCTTACAATACATTCATGTACAGTAAGGGTCTGGCAAGCTTTATATTTTTGCCAAACGATCCACAATCCTTTCACAAGTTGGCTTCAAAGCATCCACTGCAGTAAACTCCTTGAAGAAGTTGCTGGTTGGTAATGAAACAAATTACCTCAAGAGATAGACATTCTGGGTACCCTTCATAGCTTCACTGGACAGCTTCTGCAGAAAGTCTGCTTTCATACAGAATCAGTGCATGGTGCACAAATTCATATTGTTCACTGGTCTGAACCATTCCACCTCTGAAAAGAAAGTACAATAGAATGAAACCTTATTTCTTAAAAATCAAATAATCTGCTCTGCTGCTAAGAACCAGAGGACATGCTTCCATGCTGATGTTAAAAAAATAATGCGTTAAATAATTTGTGATTGAACTCCTTGGGGGAGAATTGTATGTTTCCTTCTCTGTGTTACCTGCATTCTGCCATATATTTCATGTTACAGCAGTCTCGGATGATGACCCAGCACATGTTGTTCATTTTAAGAACACTTTTACTGCAGATTTGATAAAACGCAAAGAAGGTACCAATGTGAGATTTCTAAAGATAGCTACAGCACTCAACCCAAGGTTTAAGAATCTGAATTACCTTCCAAACTCTGAGAGGGACGAGGTGTGCAGCATGCTTTCAGAAATCTGAAAAGAGCAATATTCATAGGCGGAAACTATAGAACCCGAACCACGAAAAAGGAAATCAACCTTCTGCTGCTGGCATCTGACTCAGGTGATAAAAATGAACATGCATCGGGCTGCACTGCTTTGGATTGTTATCGAGCAGAACTTGTCATCAGCATGGACACATGTCCTCCGGAATGATGGTTGAAGAATGAAGGGACTTATGAATCTTTAGTGCATCTGGCATGTAAATATCCTGTGATGCCAGCTACAACAGTGCCATGCGAACGCCTGTTCTCACTTTCAGGTGACATTGTAAACAAGAAGTGGGCAGCATTATCTCCTTCTAAGGTAAACTAACTTGTTTATTTGATTGGCTGAACAAGAAGTAGGACTGAGTGGACTTGTAGGCTCTAAAGTTTTAAATTGTTTTATTTTTGAATGTAGTCATTTTTTGTACATAATTCTACATTTGTAAGTTCAACTTTCATGATAAAGAGATTGCACTATAGTACTTGTATATGATTTTTCTTATTTACAGTGCAAATATTTGTAATCAAAATAAATATAAACTGAGCACTGTACACTTTGTATCCTGTGTTGTAATTGAAATCAATATATTTGAAAATGTAGAAAACATCCAAAAATATTTAAATAAATGGTATTCTATTATTTAACAGCGCGATTAATCGCACAATTAATCACAATTAATTTTTTAAATTGCTTGATAGCCCTACTTGTATTTACATCATGAATATCCAATTCTGACACAACAGGTGTAAGAACTATAGGGAACCATATAGCCAGCATCTAAGCTGTTAAAATCCAAATTTCAAACCCAACACAATTATGGGAAATCTCTCTAAATACACTTTATATGCTATATTTTAAGCACAACTAAGATTAGATATGTCATAAAAAAACTCAGGCACCTGGGGCAGATTCTGATACCCTTTATACATGCTGAGTTCCACGCTCCCAGAGCAATCCTATTGATTTTATTGGGGCTGTTGGAGGAGTGAGGTACTACTCAGCATGAGTAAGGACAAGAGAACCTGGACCTTAGTGTACACAGATTTCATTCTCCTTCATATCCTAAAAATGTAACCTATGGTGACCCTTAGATCACATGTACAGAGAGCAGCTCTTCCTCTCTTCTTTCTAACGCCTATAATGCATCCTGTCTAAACAGCAGACACAGAAGAAATTTTACAGCAGTGACTCATTTCAGTGCCAACAATGCAACTTAGTTAAACTTGACCATAAAAAAGTGTTCAGTGCAGTCTGTTTGGATCAGTTACCTACACCTAATACAGCTGTGTGATAACTCAGCTGGTAGCACTGGTTTCAGGCCAGATGTTGGGATGAAGTCCCACAGTAGGACCTAAGCTCGTATCCAGTGCTGAAAGTGAGTATAGTAGAAAGGGGGTGTGTGTGTGCGTGTGCTGTACTAGAAGAGTACTAGCTGAGGCTGTACTGCATTACCAGTGTTGTCTTTCAGATAGAAAATGAAACTGAGGCTCTTTTGGTTAACACTGAGGTCCATCGGCCAGTGCCCCTCACAGAGTTGGGTCCCAGAAGCAGTAGGGGTTATTGCAACTTCAGGGTGTTAAAAGCAACTGCAACTTGGCCATTGCAGACACACACTCACCTCCCTTCCCAGGCTTGCACCAAACCAGCTACTCGGAGTTGATATGTGTGTCTGTCTGGGAGGGAGGATATGGCCCAGGGGGAAAGGAATATGCATTGCGACATACACTTTAAACTGCTTTTGCCAACCCTTTGTTGAATTAGTTGATTTCAGTGAGAGGATCATCTCTCTTGCATCACATGGAGTGCAGGATCCGGCCTCTCTTAATACAAGGCCTGCTAGGCCACAGAAACTATCAGGTAAATACGTTTTAAAATAATCTATGATTTTTCTAACAACAACAAAAAGACAGCTGATAGGCAGAATGGGCAAAGAAATTGTAAAACAATTTATTCAACAAATACCTTCTCTTATTTAGATCTCTTTGTTGGTTTACAACTTTGAGGTCCTTTTGTTTCCTCATTGCTATTGGATGGCCAAATAGCCAGCTGCAACTGGCAAGAAGACTCAGCTTCTTAACAGGCTCAGGCTTGGCCATTGTGATGTAGGAAACTCTTGCAAGAGAAACACAGAACCCCAAATTCAGGTGCTGACAGAAAAGTAAAAAAAGGAAAGAATTTTACAAAATATTCTGGTTAAAAATGTAGGGTGGGATTTTCAGAAGTGTTCAGTGCTAGTCTAACTGTGCTCCCATTGAAGTCCATAGAAAAACTCACTTTGGCATCAGTAGGAGGAGAATTAGGCAACTCTGAGAGCTTCTGAAAATCTCCCACAAAGTTTTCCATAAATTTTAAATCGTCCCATGTGTTATGTTAATAATTTAACAATTTAAACACTTCAATTCACCTTTAAGAATGGTGAATCCTTGAAAGTCTTGACATTGGTATATTTCTTACCCAACTGTGACCTTCTTTAAACAGAGTGTAGGATGCAGGACATATCCTACAAGGAGGCAGAGTATTTCTGTTCTGTGAGGTTAACAGACAAATATATCAGATCGGAATGTGGCAAACCAGGATTGAAAATGCCACATTGTGTTTTTTGTCTGACTTACAGTTCCACTGCAACTCACCTATCAACTCGTAGCTGGCAGACAATGCTTAGTGCATCTACAACGCCGTCTTCCTTCAACTGGTGACAACCAATGGCAGTAGCAATAAAACACCCAGTTCTTCCTATTCCAGCACTGAAAGTAAAATTAAAACAAAGGTGAACAGAGCTGACAGACACCAACCTGCATCTTCAAAGAAGTTGTTCTGATGTTGGATATATGGACCTGAAAATACTCAACATGCAGAAGAGAGACTCATCAGTGGTTAGGTGCATGACTATCTCACCTTTTCTGCTAGAAAATGAATGCTCACAGAGCTGCAGCAGATAAATAGTTGTGGGTTAGTTTGTGAGGCCCATATGTTTTCACTCTGCACAAAAGTGCCTGGAGGGGGCAATGTAAATGCAAAACCTCTACAGCTCCAATGGATCTGAGGAGTCTAAGTATTCTCTGCTCCAGTTCAAGGGGAGATGTGGAGTGACCAGAGGAATCTGTCCCCGAAAGGCAGCAGAGGCCAGGGATCTGTATTCCAAGCCCCACCTCCATGGATCTTGCTCAGTTGGAGAGATTCTGTCACAGTTCTCTCCACACTAGCCATGGATGTATGCAAGACCAGTAATCATGCTGCCACTCTCTATCAGCCTCCTGTAGTGCTCTGCAATTCTGCAGAGGGGAGAGGGAGGGAGTGCTGCAACTTTCCATGTTCTGTTCCTCGTTTGCCATCTGGGGGGAGTTTGGAGGAGGGATGGATAAAGTGAGGCACTAAGTAGTTAAATGATTGACTGCCTCACTTTATCCATCTGTTTAACTGGCATAATACGAGCTATGTACCTCAGAGGAGTGCTGTGAGGCTTAATTTCATTAGTGTCTGTAAAGTGTTTTGAGTGTCTTGGATGAAAGGTTGCAGTATGAGTTTTATTAGGATTATATTTATACACTGCAGAGGACCCCAATCTCAGACTCCTGGCTATGGAATTAAGGATGGGAGTGTATTTGAGACTCAGGAACCCCAGGAGTCAGCAGTATTAAACATATAAGGATGCTAAGCCAAAAAGTGAGGGGATAGTGAGAAGCAAAACTGGCAGTCAGAAAAGACTGATTTCCTGGGGTGAGTCTGAGATCTATAGCTGACAAGCTATATCCTTGAATGCCGATACCATCTGGGCAAATGTGTCCAAAATGGGATAGAGATATTTTATACACAGGGGAAGGCAGAGGAACTAGCCTAAACAAGCAAGTTACTGCACATACATTCTCTTCTTCAAAATATTGTGAAATCCTTTACAAATGAGGTGCATAAGTTAAAACTACCAATAGGTCAGCACTTTCACAGCAGATCCCCCTACCTCTAAGATCCTGGAAGTATTACATGATTTATATTTTCCCACGGATTAACTGTTCTTGGATAAATTCTCCAGTGTATTTGACAAAAGCAAGTTCCCATCTCCCCAGCATCAGGCAAATGTAGGTCCTATCTTTTCCCCTGACTTTACTGCAGACTATGCAAGCTAAATCTGACACTCCTAGACTTTAGGACAAAAGGGACCATCACAATCATCTAGTCTGACCTCCTGCATATCTCAGGTCACAGAACCTCACCCACTCACTCCTGTAATAGACCCTGTAACCTTTGGCTGAGTCACTGACATCCTCAAATCTTAACTTAAAGATGTCAAGTTACAGAAAATCTGTTACTTGCCCTATATCCCCCTCACAAAATATCAGGGCAATTTTGTGATCTACTTACATAGGTATTTTTAAGACACCTATCACTGCACCCCTGTGGCAGTACAGTATGATGTTCTGTATTGCTGTATTGTTTGTTTGTTTGTTTGGGCTCCAATACCATAGAGTAGTGTTCATTGCCTTTTGGGAATAATAATTTCAAGGCTTAAATTCTCAGAGACGACTTCCCAGAGCCCTCCATACTCCTCCCACTTAGGGCTCTAGGCTTCAGCTGCAGGACGGGAGTCTCAGGGACTCCAGCCCCACGGGGTGGGAGGCGCCGGGGTTGGGGGCTTCTGTACTGGTTGTAAAGGCAGTGAATGCAGCATTTTTCAGCACCCAAACTGTCAGTGTCAGATTCATCACCATGTAACCCAGGCAGTTCCTGCACTTCATATATTAATTTGTTGCTTCTTCTGGGGGCAGAGGATATCTTTTGTGTAATTTGTGTATTGCACATTATGGGCCAGCTGCTCAGTTGGCATAAATTAGCATAGTTTCATTGACTGAAATGGAGCTAAATCAGTTTATGCCAGCTGAGAATCTAGCCCTATGCCTCTATTTTTTCCTTATTTGGTCAATAAAACAAATCTCTTACTTTGTATTTGAAGACTGTTCATTCAAATATACATTCGGTCCAAGACCACCTAGAGGCCAAAACACACTAGCTCATTTGGATGTACTATGCTACACATACAAAAGATGGTGTTTCAGTCATAGATTAGTATAAGATTTGGATGGGCACTTCAAATGACAGAGGAAACTTCTGTACCTTTAAAGTGCAATATTACTCTGAAAACTGGCTCTACAAAACAAATGCTCTTACTTAGTGAATCTGCTCCCTCTGTGTATTCAGAGTCACATCTGCTGATTTAAATGACAAAAATAAATATGTACTCATTTTTCTCCTCATAGCACTACAGACATAACTCTGCTGCTGGAGGGTGAGATGGATTATATTCTTTCTTACACATAATGCCCTGAATGCACATGCTATTGGAGCACATGGGACAGCAGCCAGCATTTGTAGGTTATTTTGTTCCATTTTACTTTTCAAATGTATTTTTTTCAATGTTGATAATAATTTAAAAACTTAAAAGATTTTTATAGCCTTTCTGCACCAGGTTGAGGGTCATGTTTTGTCCTCAGGTGAGCATTCAGTGCTGCCACTGAAATAAATGAGAGCTGCACATATGAATCCCAGGCAAACAGCCCCAAATTTGAAAGTTCTGTGAGATCTGGACACCTCTATCCCATAAATCAGAAGATTAAAATGTGGGAAAGTATGTTGCTAGAAGAGGGAGTATGACACTGCCACTACAATGTCATGTTCATTTTATTAGGGACACAGTGATTTCAGACCCCCCTCCGAATGACACCAAGTTCCATTGTGCCACTCCGCATGAAAAAGCATTACTGTGCAAATGGGAACCTGGCAGTTCATTCATAGATTTGTGGATTGCTTAAGAAAACAAAACAAAACAAAATAGTAAAGAGAGATGGGCAACACTGGGGTGGTTATGGTTTTTGGAAAATCTCCTTGGATTTGGTTTGGCAAAATGAGGGGTTGTTCAAATCTCTGGATCGTATTTATCCAAATCCCAGAAATATGGAGCTAGTAGAGGTAGTTTGAGAAGAAAAGTTCTGGTTTTGACCTATGTCTAGCAAAAAGTGCATTATAGCACCATGATTATAAGAGAAAACAGGCATGGAAATAATTTTTTTCTAGGTTGCCTCATCTCTTAACCCCTTTTCAAGTAATATAACAAATCTGAAATTTCCTACTACTATTTCATGATGTACAATTTTGTTCACTACAGTACACAGAGTAAAATGATAGATGATTAACAGAACTGACTGAATTCTGATGAGCAAAATGGGCAGCATTTGGCTCACTCTGATTTGTGGGGTAACACTATTTATGGTTTGTGAGTATTCAGCCAACTGCCAAGCAGTTGTGAAAATGTTCACAAACCCCAGAATGAACATGAATTTTTGTATTAATGTGTATTCATTTGAAAAATTTTACCTCAAGTTTGTGATTCATTATTCTCCCGTTTAAAAAGTTTCAGGCAGCCAATCATGGGGCAGAACATGTGACTAATCACACAACATGAACAATGGACAACAAATAGCTAAAGTGAACAGTGAACAACATGGAACACAGACTGACAACTATTCCTCAGAACTGTCTTTCAAACACTTACCTAATTCATTAGCAGAGATCAGGATGGGTTCAGGAACAATTCACTACCAAAATATGGCTAAATTTCTAAAAAATAGGAATGCAAACTAACAGTTCAGCCAGAATTTAGTAAAAGCGTTGTGGAACTTTCTCTTAACCACTTCCAGGAAAGCCCTATTTGAATAGGAAAGGGCCTTGTGATCTGAGGCCCTTTTCTGTAGCCAGTGGTGTGGGAGCAATTTTTATAGTGGGGGTGCTGAAGGTGGAAACCATGTATTTGGGTTGTTATTACTACTTTAAGCCAGGCAGTGCGGCAGCACCCAATGCTCCCCTAGTTCCTGCACCTATGTCTGTAGCCCTACTATAAGAATTCCAAGCCATTGAGTTTTGCACTAATTCTTTTAAGAAAACTGTAGTAGATTACCTGCAGTGCACAATTACAGGCCCTCTGCCAGCTGATGCCATCCTGTCCTCTTCCACGTCCAGCATAAGCTGCAAAAGAGGTTGAGCACTGTCTGGGGTTTTGTGGTCCGGCCAGGATGTGTACCAATAGTGTTTCACATTTTGGGACTGACTCCCTTGCTGGAAATAATGTAAAGATATCACTTATACACTTTTCAGAGTAACAATTTTGCAATTAATTTTATTTCTCTCAATATGATAAGCTTTGGACACATGCATGTATGACGGCAGAATTTGGCCCATTTACATACATTATCAAACCAAATACTGGTGATTATTTGGGGAACCCAACAGCTGATAAATTGCATATCTTGATATGGTGAAACAAGATACTCAGGCCCAGATTCTCTTCTGCTCCTATTTACACCAGATGACTAGGGTCACCATGGGTCCTTATTATCAGCTGGGGATTGCCAGAGTGTAATGCACTCTGGCCAGACCTTCTCTCTGCCCTCTGCACTGTGGGATGTGAACAGAGGGGCTGGCATAGAAGGAGGAGTGTAGCAATGGGAGTGGAGTAAAGCCAGAGAATATGACCTTTAAATTGTATTCATATTCATGAAATTGCTTAATTTGTCCACTATCTGCTAAAAGACCTTATCATAAGTATTGAAGCAGGTTTTACATGAGAACTACAATATCCTAGGTATATGAACACAGGAACTATCTTATTGGCTCAGACTAGTAGCCCATCTTGTCCAGCATTCTGTTTCTGAGGCCTGGTCTACACTGGGGGGGAAGGGGAGGTCGATCTAAATTACTCAACTTCCGCTATGTTAATAACATAGCTGAAGTCGACGTACTTAGATCTACTCACCGTGGTGTCTTCACTGCATCAGGTGGACTGCTGACACTCCCCTGTCAACTCCACCTACACTTCTTGCTCCGGTGGAGTACCGGAGTCGACGGGAGAGCGCTCGGCGGTCGATTTATCACATCTTCACTAGACGCAATAAATCAACCCCCACTAGATTGATTGCTCTGGAGGTAAGTGCAGACATGCCCTAAGAGTGGCTACTACCAGATTCTTCAGAAGCAGATGAAGGAACCTTATTGTGGACACTTATGGAATAAGTTGCTCATAGGAGAGTTTCTTCCTAACTTCAGACAGGCTTATGCCCTGAAGCACCAAGTTTAGATCGCTTATATTTTTATCTTATCTAATGAACTGTGGGTGTTCTCATCATCCATATAAATATCTAATCCTTCTCTGAATCCTGTTAATTCTGGGGCCCCAACTCTCACTTAAACTCTCCCTTTACATTGCTCTTAGGGTTGCCAGGTGTCCAGTTTTTGACTGGAAAGTCCAGTCAAAAGGGGGACCTGGCAGTGTCCAGTCAGTTGTACTGACTGGACACCAAAAGCCCAGTTCTGCAGGGCAGGGGTGCCGGGTCATTAAACCGCACCAGCCCCTGCTCAGATGGGGCCGCCTCCTACCTGCAGGCATGCTCCTTGTCAGGCTGCAGTAGCTCCTGTCCCAGCCCCAAGCAGAGAAAGCCCAGCTGGGGGTGCGGGGTGGGAGGTGGAGACGATCCAGCTAGCAACAGGAGGAAGGGGGAAGAGGAGTGAGTGTTGGGGGCGGGGCCTTGAGGAAGAGGTGGGGTAGGGTGGGGCCTCGAGTGAAGTGGCAGGGAAGGGGCAAGGCCTCAAGGGAAGAGGCAGAGAAGGGGTGAATCTCAAGGGTCCAGATACCAGCAATTAGAAAGGTGACAACCCTAATTGCTCTGACAGTGTAAAGGGGCCTTAAAGTGAGTGTAACTTAAGTGAGTATAACTTTAAGGCCCCTTTACACTGCCAGAGTGATGTAAAATGGTCTTAGTATAAATGCTTCAGGTCCTAGGTCTCAATTATACCTTGTGGCAGTGAGTCCCATAGGTTAGTTATGAACAGTGGAAAAATGTGCCCTTTTTCAGTTTTAAATGTATTGCCGTTCAATTTCATTGAACATTCAACAGTGAAGTATTACGGATATTGGAAGGTCATTTCCCCATAACAGCTTCCCCATAATAGATCATTACCTTTAATGTAAGGTTGCGGACAGTATAGTTCTCACACTCTTGCACATTGTTAACGAGGACTTCAACTTTCCCATAGATCCCTCTCTTTTCTGGCCAATAGAGCACACATTTCTGAAAAGGAAACATCAGTGTGAATCCAGATACTAATTACTTGATGCATGGGCGGGCGGGTGAAGCTCCCCCTTGGGGAGGCGATCCCCCTGCCCGCCTCTTGTGGCCAAGCCCCCGCCCTCACACACTGCTCTCAGTCCCTCCCCCCCACCATGGCCCTGACCAGGGCAGGGGGCCGAGCTTGGCCCCTCTCCCTGCCATGGCCCCGGGGTGGGGGGGAGCTCTGAGAGCTCAATTGCGGTCACAGTTGGTGGGGGAGCTGAGAGCTCAGCGCCAGCCAGGGTCGAGCTCTCAGCCTTGGCTGGGACTACGGCAGAGCTCTAGGCCCTGGCTGGAGCCCCGAGCCCCTCCCCCATCCTGCCCCTTCTGCCTGCAGCTTTGTCCATGGCCCCACCCCATTCCACCCCTTCCCCTGTGGTCCCACCCTATTCCACACATGGCCCCGGCCCTTTCTGCCCCTACTCCACATCTTTCCCCCCTGGAGCTCCGCCCACCCCCTGCTCGCTCCTCCTCCCCCGCTACCCTGAGACCGGAAAAGCTCTGTGCCCCTGCTGTAGCTCCGGAGCTGCGGTGGTGAGTGAGAGTTCCTCCACCCCGGGGAACATGGCTGGGGAGATTTTTCAGGGGGCCCCAAATCTGCCATGCCTCCCCCCCCCCCCGCAGCATGAGGTTTGGAGAGGCTTAGTCTCCTCTGGCCTCCATTATATGCTGCCTATGATTTGATGATACTGATATCAGATTCTTATCAGAACAGTATCTGTCTGAAAATCACATATTGAAGCAATCAAGGTGATATTCACATATTGTGAATGTCAGAAACATTTATGAGTAACAGATTGCAGGTGTCCTGATGAATGTTTTAGGGTCTAATTGTTAGAATATGCTGAGCAGCCACAAATCCAGTTGAAGCATCTGTGTAAATCAGGCCCAACCTGTCTCACGTTGGGCATCCAAAAACAGAAGTATCCAAAATCAGAGGCTACTTTTGAAAACTAGCCTTTAAAATCTTAATCCATTATACTGAACACTTTGAATAGTATTTGATGCTTAAAAATTCAACTAAGTTTGACTGAAGAAAAATATTTTGAACAAAAGATAAATTCAAAATCCAAGTTGGATTTTTGCAGGTACATTTTTATAAATGTACAGAGTGAAATCCTGAAGCCATTACTTAGTTTCTCTTCAGGCAAAAGACCTAAATGGAACTTTTGCCTCTGTGAGGACTGAAACTGAGTAAAGGACTCAGAATTTCTCCCACTCCCACATAAGAATTGTATCCCTATTTACTATCTAGGGCCCTGATGCATCAAAGCACCTAAACACAGACTTAAATCCATGCTTAAGCCCTTTGATAAACTGAAGGCTAAGAAAGAAGTGTCTATTCAATTTCTGAGCTGCAATGAAGATAAAATTCTCTTACCTAAAATACTTGAGTAAACCTATAAATATAGAGCATTCTTATTGAACTAGTAAAGTGATATACTCTTCCAGAAGGTTTCAGAGTAGCAGCTGTGTTAGTCTGTATCCGCAAAAAGAAAAGGAGGACTTGTGGCACCTTAGAGACTAACCAATTTATTTGAGCATAAGCTTTCATGAGCTACAGCGTACTTTGCAAGCATCCATTCAACGGCAGATGTAGAAACAGAGAGTACTACGAAATCAAACTCTCAGGTGGAATACCATGTTTACCTGCAGCATAGCTACTATTCATTTCAAATACAGATCACATAAAACTTACAAAAAACACTGAGTAACCAATACACAGAAAAAACCCTTAACCGTAAAACAAACTATCCTACACCCATAGAAGCCCACATGAGGGACTTTTTCTACTGTCACCAGCAACTCCTGATTCAAAGAACAATGTATATTCAGATAGCTGCTACTTAACAGCCCCCATTGCACAGCAAAACAAAATCATTGCTTTAATGTCATTCATTACCAGACACCACAATTTCTAGTATATACTGCTAAAACTGGGGAAAAAATCAGTATAGTTCAGGTTAAACATTACAGTGAAATGCAAGACTTGACCATCAGGCAAGATCTTTACATTTCTGGTGTACCTTATCACTCAATAGCTCATTGAGCTGAATGGAAACACTCTGGAGCATAAACGTTCTTCTACAAAGAAATGCTCATTACCTTAATAATGTGAGATGTGTGGAAGACACATTTTTTGTAACTGAAATTGCACTGACCAATTTGACTGGTTTCATTCAAAGAAGAGTCATCAGTTGCACTGTAAGACTTGTAGAGCTACCATACCTCTTAAACGCTGTCTCTCTGAAGATACCAAGAATGGCAAGAAAACACCCTAATAAATTTATAAGAAAAAAGCATTCAAAAGTTCAGCAGCCACACCATGTGACATATGGCCACTATCAACTATGTGATCTGAAAGGCATGCCCCTCCCTGGGAGTTTAGTTTTCATTGTTAACATGGGAAATGAAAAGTCTAAATGTGCAGTTGCACCCTGACAATCAACAATGGTGCAGTCAGCTTCTGAACCTTCTTGATAAATGAGAATACTGTGTGCTGCTCTCCAAAGACTTCAGAACCTCCTTAAAAGTGTTTTTTCTTGACTCTTTACCAGCACAGTAATTGGCAGCTTGCACTGTGTGGACAATGCAATCGGATTGTTAATTAAAACAATCCTCAGTTAATATCTCATCTACATTTAGTAAAATACAATAGCTTAATTTTAACAGTCTCCATGGTGGTTTTGAAAATACCATGGCGATAACAAAAAAAACAGAGCTAGACTCAAGTGGTTCAGGCACTTCCAAAAAGTCAGATACCAGGGAAATGATCATATTTTGGAATGTATTGCAACAAATGGATGATACATAAAACAAATGGGGACAGCGATTGTCTTCAGACAATCTTGCAGAAACTCCACAGGTATACAAATATGAAAGAAGGAAATTGCCCGATACCTACAATGTCACATGGCAAGAAAACTGGACCACAAGTTTTCATAGCACTCATCTTTTAGAACAGGTATTTTTGAAAGCTGTTCAAAAACCACCCACTGGGTCATTCAAACAACTTCATAATCTTATTTCCGTACTGAGAAAACTCTTAGTGTATTGGATACGGCGACTGTGTTTGTGTATGGGGAGAGAGAGGAGTTCCATGGTCCTTAACTGAGTTATAAAACCTTATGGAGCCCATCACTTCTCCTTGCGATGTTGTATCTGCTCCTTGCCATTCATAGTGTGGCTCCTTGGCCTCTTTTTAATTTTCCTTTATAGGCGCTCACCTATTTAAATGCTTTCTAAACGAGTGGTCATCACATTCATAATTACAGGTGAGATTTTCAAAAGTGTCTGAGATCACTAGAAACACAAGTGCCATTGACTTCCCATGGGACTGGTGCTCCCAATTATCTTAGGCACTTCTGAAAATCTCTCCCTATTTTCAGTCCACTCCTGCCGTACTTATACCGGGTGGGAGACGCTGAGCTTAAAAACTAGCTCTATACCTTTCCTCCTTTCCCCACCCCCTCACTCACAACCTTTATACATATTTCTGATAGCGGCTGCTTCTTAAAACCAACTTAAATTGTGATAAACACAAAAGGTGCAGCAAGTACATAATGAGTAATATGGGCCAAATTATCTGCTGAAATAACAGTACTGAAGTCAATGGTGGCATGATGACAGCAGAAAATGTCTCCCTATATTGTTAAGCGTGCCGATTCTGCCTCTGTCACTCATGTCAAGTAGCACCTTATGCCACAAGATGTCCCAGGGAGTGAGGTCACATGAGTAAGGCTGACAGAAACTGGCCCTAAGGAAGCATGGGTTGGCTGTACATGGTACGTAGTGCGGGGAAAAACAAACAGTTCTTAATAAAACCCCACATTTGTACTGTATATGCATAGCCTGGATCACCCACCACAAGCAGTAATGAAGACTCCTGAAAGCTTCTGAGCCCTGACTTTTCACAGCAGAAATGTTCATGTTCAGCATAATGTTATTCAGCACAGGAGGAATGGGGCCTGCATACAAGATTTGTGTATTGGAAGGCTGAAAGAGATGGGGGATGCTGCTTTTGAACATCTGTGTGTTTTATAAACAAACCTCCCTGAAAATGATGGGTATGCTCCAGAGAACAAAGGCGGCAAAAAATTACAATGCTATTTTGCCAGATAGCAGCTATTTTGTCTTCTTTGCAGGCAGTAAATATTTTACTAAAAAAGTTAACAGATTGTTTTCTTCTCAGTAGAAAGTAAAATCCCGAACAATTCAGCTTACAATCATCAGGCAGTTCTTAACATTTCTTCCCAGAGTTGTTCATTAGAATGTCAGAACAGTTCATGTAAACACAGACCTTCTCCAAGTAGCTTGGGAACACTAAAGATGTCTCACCCTCTTTTATTAGGAGGAAATTACCACTGTCAGTCCACAACAATGCTGATAAACACTAGTGTGGCAGGCCTGACCAATTCAGGTAAACACAGGGTTTCCTGATATGTTGGAAACCATTGGACATTTCTTTCAAGTCATTCTTCTCACACAGTGTTAGAAGTAAGTGTTTAAAAATTCAGTATTTCCTTCGTCAAATATTTGTTATTCTGTTACTGGGGCGAGTTTTCAAAAATATTCCATTAATGAAAGTTACCCAGACATTGGTTTGGCTGGTCTACAGTATCAAAATGGGGCCTCGTGTGAAAATATGTGGGATATTTACGGCACAGACCTATGTTATATAGCTTTCCTGTTTGATATGTTATAAACACTGTATGCTCAACTCCAAACTCTGAGAGAAAAAGGACCAGATTGGGGGGTACGTGTAGAAGGGAAGGTATAATCAGCCTTCTGCCCACCTGTAACCCCTCAACTAGAGACCAGGCACAATTAAAGGCCCTGCACTCTCAGGGTGAAATTCACTCCATACAGAAGGCCTGTGCACCATTTATGTCTCATTTAAGCTTTTAAAATAGGATTAAATAGGACTTAAGTGATGCATACACTTTGCGCTGGTCCTCTGCACAAAGGTGATTTTCACCCTCAGTGCCTTGGGCAGTTGATTTGTGTTCTTCCACCATAATGGAGAACCTGGCATCAATTTGTACAAGTATTAAATAAAGCTAATAAAATAGGTAGGTGGGAGTCCATCCAAAAGTCACAGAAAATATAACAGGCCTTATCTGGCCTTAGCAATTAATGAGCAATGGTCACATATTCTCCGTGTTAATGTAAGGAACTATATATTTCCATACTGGCTAGATATGACCCTACTATTGACTAAATGCTCCCAAAATGTATTTCTCAACATGAATTAGGTTGTTTTGTAAAACCTGGGATGGATTCTTTAGGAATTGTCTTTGTTTGTTCCAAAGTGCAGGTCTGGAACATAGAGGTGAAATCTTCCTTGGACATTACAGCATCCAAATGAACAAAATATTCTATATATAATTAAAAGTAACAGGTAATGACCCCATATTTACAAGTGCTACCTAACTATATGTGGAGTGTTTCTCATAACTACCACCCCTCAGCCTCCATGAATATGCTGGGATATGCTTTATACATCTCTTGAGATTGCTATATAATGCTATATCTAATTATCTATCTTAGGTTTTTCTATAATGACCATCACCATAACATTTAAGAGCTGGTTATCTGCTGGTATCATATCTACTATGAGGTTCTTTCTACAAAGGATGTTATATACTGTGAGATGTATAGACAGTCTTATTTACAATACAACCACTGAAGTAATTTCTGGATGTAGCCAGTTGATATCATACCTCATTTTTTTCTTTCAGCTTTGTGATCATAACAATGACAGGGCTATCTTCCTGCCAAACCATCTGCCAGAAATCATTCACGGTATTAATCATGGGACCCTGAGTTGCAATGAAGGACTTCTCCTTACCACCGTAGCCCTGGTTTAGAAACAGACACAGAAGTATTGATTTAAAGTCATGCATTGCACAGAGATCTTAGGTGAAAGTTCCAAAGAAAGAAATGGGAATCTAGACCACAAGATAAATTAAAACAGAAAGCCTGCATGACCTGGTACAGCTGGTCAAAAATTGTCCAGTGGAACAGTTTTTTGCTGGAAAATTCTAATTTGATGTAACCAAAATATTCCACTGCAATGTGCTGGTTTTGTTGAAACTTCCCTGCCTGCCTGGTTTCCTGCCAGCCTGCCCAGCTCCCTGGTTTCCTGGACTGCCTGCTTGGCTGCCCAACTTGTCAAGCCCCTTGTTTGGTGGGCAGGTGGGCTTCCTGACTCCCTGATAGTTGGTTCTCCGTCTGCCCAACTTGTTGACTCCCTGCCTGGTAGCTGGGCTGCCTCTCTCTGCTTGGCTCCCTAGGTGGCTGGCTCCCTGGTTGCCTGATTCCCTGGCTGCCTAATTCCCAGACTGCTTGGTTACCTTGCTGGGCAAATGGCGAGCTGGCAAAGCAACCAGCTTCCCTGTTGTCCAGTGCCAAAATGGATTGTTCCATTTCACATGAAATTCCTCAATGTAAATATTTTGTGCTGATGCAGAATGAAACAAAATGAAACATTGACACTGCAGAATTTCCCACAAAATAGAAATTCCCTTTTCTGGCCAGCTCTACCTGTTAGTTAGTATTTCTGCTGTATTCAAAGGATGATATTGTTAGCAACAGGCCATAAAAAACAAATGAGAGTGAACAGAATAGAAATATGAAACTAAATAGTACCATGAAGATTTATGAAGGGAAAAGAGTTTTTGAATACATAAATCCTTACAGACTCAGAAGCTCCAATTTATACTTGCTAAGCAGAAAATGCCTCTGAGACCTTATATATGGGACATTCGGTCAGGATAGCACGAACCTTGAGACACACTGAAAATTATAAGCAAGCAAAGGAAAGAAGGAGTGAGTGGGGAAATGAATGAGTCATGTCTGTATTCATCTTTATCATGTGAAAAGGAAAACTTGTGAACTTGTACACTGAACTTGGGTCCAGCTCTAAAGAAGGAGTTCTTTTGAACCTTGCTGGCCAGCGAAGGCTGCAGCAACCTCAAAAAGGAATAAATTATTAAAGAATAAAATGATTGGCAGAGCCAGATATTGTAACTTTGTTTCTCTCTTCAGTGAAACCATTTCCACAACCACAGGGACAATGGAGCAATCCACTGACTTATCCATTACACAGAACAATGCAGCAGATCCTCAGCTGGTATAAATTATCATAGCTGTATTGAGTGATATGCCCCAACATCTCTTGTCAATGACAGGTGTGTCAGAATGTTCAGACAGTCGAGAATACTGAAGTGTCTAAGGTGCTTTACAATATACTGTAAATTCATGTGAAATTTAATTTACTCACTGTTACATTTTTTTAAAAATCATTGACAATGTTACCAGTGTCAGCAATATGAAACGCCATGGTACTTCATTCCCTGGAGGGAAGGAATACTTCACATGACTCAATACATGGCCTAATTTCTCTCGCTCATTTAAAAGCAGCATTGATGCTCTTTAAATGGAATCATTCTCCTTAACTATATTGATGTCTGTGATGCAAAGCCTTGACAGTACAGATGTAAAGTGAGAAGCGGGAGGGGATGGAGGGGGGGCCGGACACTATGTGTGTGTAGGTATATATATTTATGTATTGCTGTTTTAAAAAAGCAAAATGACTTCCTTTATGGAGTGGAGTGGAGTGAGGTTCTGAAACAACTTCTCATGAGAAGTAGTGGGGCCAAACAACCTAACTAGTTTTAAGATGGAACTTGATGCTAAGTTTATGAATGGGAGGTCCCTTCCAGAGCTATGTCCTATGTGACCATAGGTTAAATACGTACATAACTCTTGGGTGCTTTATTATAAACACCCCATCGGGACCACTTTATCTCACCAATAGTGAGAGAGGGGTAGGGTAGACTTTATCCTTATATCATACAAGGTGAAGTCGACAGAAATAAAAGGAGAGTGGAGCCCAAACGGAATCAACTATTCTGCTGGAAAACAGAATACTGTCTCAGGAGGACCCAAAGAATGTGTGTTTACTTACCCTAATGTAGTTAGCATTTATGTAGGTGCTCAAGGAGTCAGCTGCATTCTTTGGTTTCAAACACACTCTGCTTAGTGGATCTAAGAAGTCAGGAAAGATGGAAATTGAAAAGAAAATCACAAAGAGAAGATTTCTATTGAGAATCGCAGAAGTGAATCAAAGACTAGTTGGAGCAAAATAATCTACCAATGGTGCTGCATTTTGCATTTTTGGTGAAACTCACTCCTAGACATAGGGTTTACAAAAGGCCTCAACATCATGTAAGTCCCATTAACACCGGTGTTCTGAGGGCTTAAGTGAACCTTAAATCAGGCAAAGGCACTGTATTGATCCTTCTGCACAGAGTGAATTGTCTTTTTGTATAGAAGGAAGGTTCACTGTAACTCAACATACAAACATTTCATTTGAATAGGTGTCTTGTATCTGGAGAAATGTATAGCCAAACTAGAAGAATATTTTCCTTCAATTGCCTATTATTTTGGGGCAAATCCTATTCCCAGCCTCCTCCACGGCCTTTGAGGGTCCTAGCTGGACTGGGACAGAAGCAATTCTGTTGAGCACAGGGCTGATGGGATGCTAAGTCCCTATGTAGGGGATTTTAACTCTCTTGTGCATCATGGAGCTGTGCTCCTGGGGAATCTGTTCACCCTAGGGGGTTTGAACAGGGGCCAGAAGTTTCTCAGTTACATAGATCTACTCAACAGTCCTCTCCACAAAAAGACACAGCGAGGAGGGTGCATAGGAGCCCACACTGTAACTGCCTAGCAGCTACTACTTTACCCTCCTCCACTCATTTTCTGCAAAAATGTCATCCCTTCAACAAAATAAAACGGAAACCGTGTTCTCTCACATCTGGGGTGAAAAAAAGGAAACCTTTCTATGGCAGATTGCTTAGACAAATAAAATAAAAGTAGCAGCTGTTTGAAGTTACCATATCTACTCTGTTAGAAATAGTCCCTGGAGAGATGATTACTAGGCGGAGTCCAAGCGAGGTGTAAAAAGGTGTATGCATGTTGAATTGTGGAATCAGCATATGTATGTTATCTGTTGGTAACATCTAGTATTCTCACAGCATTGCATCTGGGGTTCTAGTCTATATTTTTGTCTAGAACAAAAGGGACAATGAGGGGAGTGATAGTTCAGTGGTTCATGCATTGGCCTGCTAAACCCAGGGTTGTGAGTTCAATCCTTGAGAGGGCCATTTAGGGATCTGGGGCAAAAATTGGGGATTGGTCCTGCTTTGAGCAGGGGGTTGGACTAGATGACCATCTGAGGTTCCCTCCAACCCTGATATTCTATGTACATTCTTTATGCTTAACTCCCACTGAAATTAACAAGAGTCCATTGCTTGGAGCCACAGCAGGGTTTAGGATCATGTTTTATAAAATATACTTCTCAGAACATGAAACTGCATTCATGTCCTTCAGTTCAGGCTACAGTACAAGCAGGAAGGCTTTCTCATTTTGTGTGCTCAGAGAGTAAAATGAACCCTAGTTAGCCTGGGTTAAAAATCTCTCTGTTTGCCTTCCCAAACCTCTTCACACAAGAGATTTTTTTTTCTTTCCCTTAACCACATGAGGACAGGAAACCTCTTATTCCTTTTCAGTACAGTGATTATTAGCCATTTCCACAAACGCCTTAGGCTACATGTCCTTGGAAAAACACCCACTTCCTTTAGCTTTCACAATGCTTATGATCCTGATGTAGCCTGACCTCTACCCTAAAAATGCTCTTAGAAGAAGACTCAACCTCCAGGCTGTTTAAATATTTTTCATGCTGAATTTCCCCAGATATTAATGGATCACTAAATATTTTATTAAGATCCTTTTTATGATTCCAATCAACTGAGTGACCACTATTTGAAAATCATAATGTTGCATACACTAGCAATCACTCCCAAATATTGACTGTTTAGAAAATGGATGTATGGTATCTATGCAACTTTGAAATGAGGAGACATTGTTTAAGGAGCAGTGGGCATTACTCTGTTATTCACAAGTGGGAGTAATTAAATTACCCATGTTAGTGATTTTTTGGACAAGAATGGTAAAGACTCAGGAAGGATCTGGTGTCAGGACAGCGGACATATCTTCCGGGGTGATTGTGATACTTAATTCATTAAAGTTTGTAAAACACTTTGAGATACAGAAGATGCTATGAAAGTGCTGAGTATTATAATTATGAATGCCTGGAGGTGGAAGTGGCATTTAAACAAAGGACCCCATCTTGTACTCTTTACGGAGGTAAAATTACCATTGCCTTCTTTCATGTTCCCCATACGGGAAGCTTCTACTTTCCCCATCTTTAAGGCATTACTAATATCCCATTTTTGTCATGAAGCATGCAAGCTTCAGAGGTCATATACCACTCTATATATGTCCTGGCTTGTATGCTCATTCCTCCCCTCCTCTATTTTTGTATGCCTTTAGACTGTAAGCCCTCTGGGTGTCAGGCTATATGATCATTTACAATATACTTCAAATGATTACTAATAATAAATCATTCATTAATATTGTCCCCAGTCCTGACTCCTATACTCAACAGATGTTCTGAAATGTGCAAAAGGCTGGTTTCACGATACTGATCTTTAGGAGCCAAAAAAGAGAAATTTGTTCACATATTTGCTTAATTCTGCAGACTCAGAAGTCTCACCAAACTTTGGATAGACATCTAACCTTTTAAGAGTCAGCTATCCCTAATTATTTGCCCTCTGTTTGCTCATGGAATTGATAAGTTTTGGCGGTAGCTGACATTATTTGGCTAATATTATAAGGTGGAATTTGAAAATATTGTATGAGTCATGGATCTTTATTCATACAGCAAATTTCATAATTGGCTCAAAATTCCAGTTGTATAAAACACCTGTAAACCATGCATATCACTTTCCAAACTACCAACATATTGCCCACTGGAAAAATATCTCATCGATTCAAGGTATGTAAATATATGCATGATTCAATTATATTCCACATGTAAAAGTGATCATTCCTACATGCTCAAAAATAATGCTAACCTCAAATGCATTTAGGTTTTATTTTGATACAACGTTAGGTTTGCCAGTTTTGGTTGGATGTATTCCTGGAGGTTTTATCACGACATAATCTTTAATTAAAGATTAATCTTTAATTCCTGGGGACTCCAGGACAATCCTGGAGGCTTGGTAACCCTAAATTGAACACTGCTTAAATATCAGGATATGGCTGACTGTACCCAGATGAATTTATTGATTCAGGTGAACATAAAAAACTGCCTTGATGCATCTGTGCTGAAACGTTTTTTCCTCCCACTAAAAAAATTATGAATCTTTTAGAGCCTGTTCACAATCCTATTGATTTTAAAAGGGAGCAGTATCGGAGAAATAATGATAGAACACAATCAATGTCAGAATTGTAGGAAAAGCTCAAGGGAGACTGAGGATTTTCAGCTTCAAAAGAATTGTTTCATGGCATGCAGAGATGACCCATGCCTGATGATAGTGTGTGTGGGTGGGTGGGAGAGGGGGCAGAGTGAGGGAAGCTGGCTTCAGCAGTATTACTGAGCATGCTCAGTCCGTGTGAGAATGCTCAGTACAAGCCAAGCAGCAAATCTGGGGGTCACATGACCCCAGATGCCCTTCCCCATACATCACCTCTGATGGCATCTGCTTATAAACTGGCACAAGGAAGCACTTTGTTCACTTGATTTAAATTTAATTTTTTAAAAAATTATTGTCTTAAACTTGGGGATACTTTACTATACCATTGTAAAACTCCTAGCATTTTCTAGGCATCTTACAGTTGAATTCTAGTGTTTGTCTAGCAGCACTGAGAATTTTATTCTGCAATTGAAAATTCATTCCTTAAAAGAATTTTGGATCAGCTACAATGACAATTTTCTATTAAGAAATAAATTTCATTAGGTATTCATTACACTTCATATTAAAAAATAGGACAAAATAGTGTTTATTCATGCCAACCTGCCCCAACGCAGTCTGTCTCTTAACAGCTTGACAGAATTATTTCTTAGAAAATGAGAAACTTCTTAGCAGCACAAAGGGTAGAGTGCCAGACCATGGACATTTTCAGGAGAAAATTAATCATTTCAAACATCACTTGTCACTACAGGTGCCCTAGTTCAAGAGACGCACCCAGCGCTTGGAATGGAAAAGCTGACACAAGAGTACTAAGCAGTAGGTTGATATCATCTGAGCAGGAAACTGGGAAGGCTGTTCTATTAAACCATTCAAATAATTTCCAAACCCTTGGGGTCTGGGAGTGGAGCATTCGTGTATTTATCAGAATGTGCCTAGATCCCCAGAATATCTTCTGTAGAAGAGCACAAGGCATTTCTTTCGAATTAATACATGACTGATCTGTTATCCTCATTTTGTCTTGATTTCTGTAAAAGGCAATTACAAAATATCTGTCTGAGACTCTCGCTGCTGTGCAGTGCATGTCAACTAAAAGTGCATCCAGAAGTTAATGATACCTTTTCCAATTACAATGAAAGTGAAAATACAAAGGCATTATGATTCTTAAGCATCACTGACTGCTGCTACACTGTAGCTATGCAATTCAAATACAAACAAACTACAGTGTAATTTAATGCACTGTATCCACAGGGTGCATTCTGTGGGTGTATACACAATGGTAGCATCAGGAGATTTAACATTCAGAATTATATGAAGAGAGAATGCATTATTTTGTTAAGGGGTTGGCATATCAACAGATTGGAGGCACTGGATGAAATTCTGGCCCAAATGAAGTCAATGGGAGTTTCGTGTATATCCTGTTTATATTGGGCTAAATTCAGGGCCTAGTCTTCCAAACTTTCAATATGTAAGTTACACCAACTTAGACTCATTTACCAATGTGTAACTTCCATCCTGGCATACAGTACCTTTGTATGTGGCCCACTGACCATAATGGGTGAAATGCTGGTTCTTTTGAGGTTAATGAGGGTTTTGCTATTGACTTCAGGGGGCTCAGAATTTCACCAGTGTTTTGTTTCCAATAATATATCAGATCCCTGACAAAATAATACTTTTGATGGCCAACATCTTTCATTAATTTGCCTGCAAATCCCTTTTACAGTGTGATCAAACTATAATTCAGTTAGGTAAACAAAGAACATTCTTACCATTGAGAATGAGTGAAATGCATAGAATATACTTTGCTCAGGATTACTACACTGAGCAAAGTGTGTGACCACACATGACTGCAAGGACATTATTGCTAGAGCTGGTTGGAAAATAGAATATCAGTTTCATGGGAAATGTCAACATTTTGAATTTTGTTTTCGTTTTGAATCGTAACAAAAAGCTGGAATTTAGAAATTTCCCATGGGACAGAAATTCTTGTGGATTCTGATTCAGAACCATTGAAACATTTCATTTCAAACTGTTACATATAATTAAAAAGTATAATAAAATTAATGTAGTATAATAAAGAAGTCAAAATGAAATGAAATAAAATAAAAGCAAAACATTCTAACATCACAGAAATGAAATGAGAAAGTTAAAACAAGCCATTTTTCCTTTCTTCCAGCAAAAATTTCAGTGAAAATGATATGTTCCCACAAAATTATTCTATGTCAACGGAACTGTATTTTTGATGGAAAACTGTTCCATCAGAAAATGTTAACTAACTCAATTTACAATGAAGTAATTCTTACTGTTATGGGAAATGCATCACTTAGACCAATGAAAACACAGAAGCAATACAAGAAATTAACAACAATAAAGTTAACAGCAACTCTGAGATAGTAGTATAAAGGTAATTATCTGGCTAAAAGAGATGGATTCCAACAATGCTACAAACCAGTAGGAAAAGAAAAGGAGCAAGAGAAAGAGAACCATTATAAATGAATGTCTCCTCGAGAAGATTTGAGGGCACATTGGTTCATTTAGTCTGAATCACTCAACGTTAGACAGTAAAGGATTTGCAATAAGGTTCTCTGACTCATTCAGGGTACAGTCTTGCAGTTGCAGAACTTGACTAGACATAACTCAGTGGGCATTCTAAAGTCATAGAGTTTAAGGCCAGAAGGACCATTAGATCATCTAGTCTGGTCTCCTGTATATCACAAGCCATCAACACCACCCAGCACTCACACACTTACCCTACAGCTGAAATGAGACCAAAGTATTACAGCCCACAGGAGACTAGATTATTATGTGTCATGGGCAGAAAATAGGCGGGACCAAAATGCAACAGTGCCCGAGGTCCCCTCAAGGCCACAGTTCTGATGGTCCCTCACTGTAGATAGAATACAGATAAGTTATTTAAATTAGGGCTGTCAAGCAATTAAAAAGATTAATCGTGATTAATCATGCAATTAATTGTGCTGTTACACAATAATAGAATACCATTTATTTAAATATTTTCGGCTGTTTTCTACATTTTCAAATATATTGATTTCAATTACAATACTGAATACAAAGTGTACAGTGCTCACTTTATATGTATTTTTCATTACAAATATTTGCACTGTAAAAACAAAAGAAATAGTATTTTCAATTCTGCCATTGCAAGTACTGTAGTGCAATCTCTTTATCATGAAAGTTGAACTTACAAATGTAGAATTATGTACAAAAATAACTGCATTCAAAAACAAAACAATGTAAAACTGTAGCGCCTACAAGACCACTCAGTCCTACTTTTCGTTCAGCCAATTGCACAGACAAACAAGTTTGTTTACATTTACAGGAGACAATGCTGCCTGCTTCTTGTTTACAATGTCACCTGGGGAACAAGTGTTGGCATGGCACTACTGTAGCTGGCGTCACAAAATATTTACATGCCAGATGTGCTAAAGATTCAAATGTCCCTTTATGCTTCAACCTCCATGCATCCATGCTGATGACGGGTCCTGCTCGATAACAATCCAAAGCAGTGTAGACCAATGCATGTTCATTTTCATCATCTGAGTCAGATGCTACCACCAGACAGCTGATTTTCTTTTTTGGTGGTTCGGGTTCTGTAGTTTCCACATCAGAGTGTTGCACCTTTAAGATTTCTGAAAGCATGCTTCACACCTTGTCCCTCTCAGATTTTGGAAGGCACTTCAAATTCTTAAACCTTGGGTCGAGTGCTGTATCTATATTTAGAAATTTCTCATTGGTCTCTTCTTTGCGTTTTGTCAAATCTGCAGTGAAAGTGTTCTTAAAATGAACAACGTGTGTTGGGTCATCGTCCAAGACTGCTATAACATGAAATCTATGGCAGCAGGTAAAACAGAGCAGGAGACATACAGTTCTCCCCCAAGGAGTTCAGTCACAAATTTAATTCACAAATTATTTTTTTAATGAGCATCATCAGCATGGAAGCATGTCCTCTGGAATGGTGGCCAAAGCATGAAGGGGCATATGAATGTTTAGCATATGTGGCACGTAAATACTTTGCAATGCCAGCTACAAAAGTGCCATTGGAAGATCTGTTTTCACTTTTAGGTGACATTGTAAATAAGAAGCGGGCAGCATTATCTCCCATAAATGTAAACAAACTTGTTTGTCTTAGTGATTGGCTGAACAAGAAGTAGGACTGCGTGGATTTCTAGGCTCTAAAGTTTTACACTGTTTTGTTTTTGAGTGCAGTTAAGTAACAAAAAAAATCTACATTTGTAAGATGCACTTTCACGATAAAGAGAATGCACTACAGTATTTGCATGAGGTGAATTGAAATATACTATTTCTTTTATTGTTTTCATACTGCAAACATTTGTAATAAAAATAATAATATAAAGTGAGCACCGTACACTTTGTATTCTGTGTTGTAATTAAAATCAATATATTTGAAAATGTAGAAAAACATCCAAAAATGTTTAATACAGTTCAATTGGTATTCTATTGTTGAACAATGCAATTAAAGCTGTGATTAATTGTGATTTTTTTAAAAATCGTGATTAATATTTTTGAGTTAATCACATGAGTTAAATGTGATGAATCAACAGCCCTAATTCAAATATGTACAAAATGTCCACCATAAAAAAAAAAGACCAGCAGGCTTCCTACAAATCTATAAGCAGAGTTATATTAATAAAATGGGACTAAATTTCATACTAAAAAGCATTGTTTAAATACACTTACTTGGCAAAATTGTTTTATAACGGTTTTTAGTTCCATGACTTGGGATGGCAATTTCTTTGGGATCCACAAAATTCATTGGTATTTCCTATAGAAATAAATTAGATCAGATTGGTGTTTCTAAAGAAGTCATGCAGGAAATTATACTGGAAGGCCATCTGATGCTTCACAACTATCTGTTGACATCAAAGTATTAACAAAAAAACTGGCTCCCATCTCCAGCCTGTCAACACCCTTCCTTTAATAAACACAAGAGCTGCACATGGAAGTGTTGACTTCCGAGGAACAGTTTTGATGAATTATTAAAAGCAAAGGTTTTTATGAGGTTATAAAATAGGTTAAAGTACACAACAGTTTAAGAAGAAGGGCGTTGAAAATTTGCTAGGGTGGAAAAAAGCAAGAATTTACAAACTGTAGCTAATAACTATGCTGTGTGAGAATGCCCTCAAGATTCTTACACAGTAATGCTTAAGTTTCAGAGTAACAGCCGTGTTAGTCTGTATTTGCAAAAAGAAAAGGAGTACTTGTGGCACCTTAGAGACTAACCCATTTATTTGAGCATAAGCTTTCGTGAGCTACAGCTCACTTCATCGGATGCATACTGTGGAAACTGCAGAAGACATTATATACACAGAGCCCATGAAACAATACCTCCTCCCACCCCACTCTCCTGCTGGTAATAGCTTATCTAAAGTGATCACTCTCCTTACAATGTGTATGATAATCAAGTTGGGCCATTTCCAGCACAAATCCAGGTTTTCTCCTCCTCCCCCCACCCCACAAACTCACTCTCCTGCTGGTAATAGCCCATCCAAAGTGACCACTCTCTTTACAATGTGTATGATAATCAAGGTGGGCCATTTCCAGCACAAATCCAGGGTTTAACAAGAACGTCTGGGGAGGGGGATAGGAAAAAACAAGGGAAAATAGGTTACCTTGCATAATGACTTAGCCACTCCCAGTCTCTATTCAAGCCTAAGTTAATTGTATCCAATTTGCAAATGAATTCCAATTCAACAGTTTCTCGCTGGAGTCTGGATTTGAAGTTTTTTTGTTGTAATATCACAACTTTCATGTCTGTAATCGCATTACCAGAGAGATTGAAGTGTTCTCCGACTGGTTTATGAATGTTATAATTCTTGACATCTGATTTGTGTCCATTTATTCTTCTACGTAGAGACTGTCCAGTTTGACCAATACACATGGCAGAGGGGCATTGCTGGCACATGATGGCATATATCAGATTGGTGGATGTGCAGGGGAACGAGCCTCTGATAGTGTGGCTGATGTTATTAGGCCCTGTGATATTGTCCCCTGAATAGATATGATTATCATACACATTGTAAGGAGAGTGATCACTTTAGATAAGCTATTACCAGCAGGAGAATGGGGTCAGAGGAGGTATTTTTTCATGCTTTGTGTGTATATAAAAAGATCTTCTACACTTTCCACAGTATGCATCCGATGAAGTGAGCTGTAGCTCACGAAAGCTTATGCTCAAATAAATTGGTTAGTCTCTAAGGTGCCACAAGTACTCCTTTAGTAATGCTTAACATTCACATAAAACTTTTGATGTGTAGATTGCAAATCCCTTTACAAGGGTGGGTTAAGCACCTTATCCCCATTTTACAGACAGGGCAGCTAAGGCATAGATTTAAGTGACTTACCCAGTGACACGCAGTGAATTAGGGGACTGTCAATAACTGAACCCAAATCTCCTGCCTCCAAATCTGGTGCCCTAACCAGTGAACCATGCAGCCTCCTTTAGAAAATTCAAATGATTTCAATGTGAAACCATTAGCATTATTAGAGCGTCTCACACTTCCTTGCAGGCCGAGCTGTACAACCAAAGAAAGAGAGCAGAATATTAATCTGCTGCCTGTGAGTTGTATAGGCAGCAGCAGAGGGCAGCAGAGAGATTCCTCTGCCTGCTGTGCCAAACAGGCACACCGTAGGACTGATTTACTTCATGCTTCCAGTGCTGCAAATCAGGCTTTTCTGATTTTCACAACCATCAGTAAGGCTCAGCCCATTGATGCCCAGAACAGCCTCTGAAATTCTGGACTCTGTGCCCCATGCCACAACCCTTCAGGCCAAAGCTTACGTAAGTGCTAAGAAGGTGGCAGAATTGTCTCTTGCAAGAAGGGTAGTGGGAGGGGTAGGAACCCAGTCTCTGTCCCTGAACCGAAGTGCCCTGCCCCTCCTAGAGCACTGCTTATCTGAGGCTCTCAAAGTGCTTCCCACGCCTGAGGGAATTCACTCTCCCTCCCCATTGGGCCAACAGGAGCAAAGGAAAATAAGATTCATTACAGTCAGTTCTTGCTGCTGTGATTCCCTCCTGCTCCTCACTCTGTTCCTGACCTCCCCACCAGCCACGCTTGCAACCTTCATGTTAACGTTTACTCCCCCAGACACAAACTGCCACTGAATCCTTTCTGATCTCCATCCTTGCCTCTTCCCCACCTCTACCACTACACCTTGCTCCCTGCCCTGGTCATCTCTCTCCTTGGCTCCTGCAGCCTCCTCCTCACTGATATTGCTGCCTCTCCCCTTGTTCCCCCTCAGCCCAGACAAAGTGCAACTGCTAAAATCACATCCCTCGCCTGCTGCTCTGCTCATGTCACTCACTTCAAGTCCCTGCACCATCCTCCCTGTGCCTCCTGCATCAAGGGCAGCCTTCTCTTCACTTGCAAGTCCTACCCAACTTCACTCCCACCTCCTTCTTCTTTTGCTCCCCCATGCTCAGCCCCAGCCTCCTCCTCACCAACCCTTTACGCTGCCTTCCATGCCCCTTCTCCTTCTGCATGGAACAGTCTCTCCCATGCCCCGTATGTCACATGACCTCCTGCTCCTTCTTCACATCTCTCCCCAGAGCTCACTCCTCCTTACTGTGACCTTGTGAGATCCCTGCATACAGTCCCTGGTATACTCTGGAACTGAACTGTTCCAACGGGGTCTGGACTGGATTGTGAGCTCCTTGGGGCAGGGACTGTTTTCTATTATGTCACCTATAGCTTCCCTGGTGCAGTTCTGCACTGTTGGTACAAACATCTCTGGCACTTTGAAACTGAAAAAACACTTTATTGCTTAAGCAGGTAAAGTTGTACAGTCAACAAGAGAGAGCAGTGTATTTAGATGCTGCCTGTGATATGTGTAGTCAGGAGAGGCCGCAGAGAGATTCCTCAGCCTACTGCCCCAAATAGGCTCTATGGACCTGAGTAGTGGAAATCAAATCAAGGTTTTGCAGTTTTCAACAAAACCAACAGGATTCTGCCCATTGAGGCCTAGAACATCCCCGGAAATTTTGGAATTGGTCAGATGCAGCATTCAGAAGTTATCACATTATAGACAGACACAGAAATGCCATCAAGTTGAACATAGAGCTTTGCTTTTCTGGTCCAGTTGATCACTTGAGACCTATAAGCACTTACTATTGGTTGTGGGGTTTACTCAGTGGGACTACTCCCAGGGGCAAGTGTTTGTATGGAGGGCCAAGACCATAAACAGCTCTCTAAATTTATATGGTGCTCTACAAACATAGACATGGCACTTAATCTTTGTGCTTATCTGTAAAAGGCAAGAGAAAACAAAGGACTAAGAGTGTAAGTAAGAGATTATATTACGATAACATACCTGCTAACCCGTGCAACCCAAAATGCTTCAGATTTCAAATGAGCATTAAGAAAAGCAGTACTTGTGGCACCTTAGAGACTAACCAATTTATTTGAGCATAAGCTTTCGTGAGCTACAGCTCACTTCATCGGATGCATACTGTGGAAACTGCAGAAGACATTATATACACAGATACCATGAAACAATACCTCCTCCCACCCCACTCTCCTGCTGGTAATAGCTTATCTAAAGTGATCACTCTCCTTACAATGTGTATGATAATCAAGGTGGGCCATTTCCAGCACAAATCCAGGTTTTCTCATCCCCCCCACCTCCAAAAACCACACACACAAACTCACTCTCAGGCTGGTAATAGCTTATCCAAAGTGACCACTCTCCCTACAATGACAGGTTTCAGAGTAACAGCCCTGTCAGTCAGTATTCGCAAAAAGAAAAGGAGTACTTGTGGCCCCTTAGAGACTAGCCAATTTATTTGAGCATAAGCTTTTGTGAGCTACAGCTCACTTCATCTGATGCATACAGCACAAATCCAGGTTTTCTCACCCTCCGCCCCCCCAAACTCACTCTCCTGCTGGTAATAGCCCATCCAAAGTGACCACTCTCTTTACAATGTGCATGATAATCAAGGTGGGCCATTTCCAGCACAAATCCAGGTTTTCTCACCCCCCCCCCACACAAACTCACTCTCCTGCTGGTAATAGCACATTGTAGGGAGAGTGGTCACTTTGGATGGGCTATTACCAGCAGGAGAGTGAGTTTGTGGGGGGGCGGAGGGTGAGAAAACCTGGATTTGTGCTGGAAATGGCCCAACTTGATTATCATGCACATTGTAAGGAGAGTGATCACTTTAGATAAGCTATTACCAGCAGGAGAGTGGGGTGGGAGGAGGTATTGTTTCATGGTCTCTGTGTATATAATGTCTTCTGCAGTTTCCACAGTATGCATCTATCAAGGTTCCTCCCCCACTCTGAACTCTAGGGTACAGATGTGGGGACCTGCATGAAAAACCTCCTAAGCTTATCTTTACCAGCTTAGGTCAAAACTTCCCCAAGGTACAAAATATTCCACCCGTTGTCCTTGGACTGGCCGCTACCACCACCAAACTAATACTGGTTACTGGGGAAGAGCTGTTTGGACGCGTCCTTCCCCCTAAAATACTTCCCAAAACCTTGCACCCCACTTCCTGGACAAGGTTTGGTAAAAAGCCTCACCAATTTGCCTAGGTGACTACAGACCCAGACCCTTGGATCTTAAGGACAATGAACAATCCTCCCAACACTTGCACCCCCCCTTTCCTGGGAAATGTTGGATAAAAAGCCTCACCAATTTGCATAGGTGACCACAGACCCAAACCCTTGGATCTGAGAACAATGAAAAAGCATTCAGTTTCTTACAAGAAGACTTTTAATAAAAATAGAAATGAAGAAATCCCCCCTGTAAAATCAGGATGGTAGATATCTTACAGGGTAATTAGATTCAAAAACATAGAGAACCCCTCTAGGCAAAACCTTAAGTTACAAAAAAGATACACAGACAGAAATAGTTATTCTATTCAGCACAATTCTTTTCTCAGCCATTTAAAGAAATCATAATCTAACACATACCTAGCTAGATTACTTACTAAAAGTTCTAAGACTCCATTCCTGGTCTATCCCTGGCAGAAACCAGCATATAGACAGACACACAGACCCTTTGTTTCTCTCCCTCCTCCCAGCTTTTGAAAGTATCTTGTCTCCTCATTGGTCATTTTGGTCAGGTGCCAGCGAGGTTACCTTTAGCTTCTTAACCCTTTACAGGTGAGAGGAGCTTTCCCCTGGCCAGGAGGGATTTCAAAGGGGTTTACCCTTCCCTTTATATTTATGACAGCATCCGATGAAGTGAGCTGTAGCTCACGAAAGCTTATGCTCAAATAAATTGGTTAGTCTCTAAGGTGCCACAAGTACTCCTTTTCTTTTTGCGAATACAGACTAACACGGCTATTACTCTGAAATGAGCATTAATTTGCACACATTTGCATACTGTTGTGTTTGTTGCATTTGCTACCAGAAAATAAATGAATGAAAAATTCTTCAGCAGCTCTTGTTTTTATTGAATTCTCTATGGCACATTTCACTCATTCACATTCACTCTTCTCTTACCCATATTCAAATTCATTAAGTCTGCACACTTCATACAATGTCACCTGCACTCCACCTGTGCTCATCCACATGTTCAGTCACATGCATCTACCCTGACCTCATCCACATGCATCCATACTCTGCACCCACACCATCCCCTACCACAAGCATACTTCACACATACAATTTATTCACTCTGCATTCATTCATTTCCTCCCCCTGGCACAACAGCAGTGAAAGCAGGTGCAGAACAGGAATTCTTCCACCCACGTAGGTAAAAGCAGCTCAAACGTAGGACCGGTCTTATACAGTGTTTTCCTGGGCTGAGTCTCTGCCCATATTTGAGGCTTCTTTGCTACAACAAAACTCTCTCCATCTGGCATGGGATTGTCCTTGGCCGTGTGTGATGGGGTGTACTCCCCACATCAGCTCTGCAATAGCTGAATTAAGCCAGGTAGGCTCAACCAGCCAATTAAGCTGCAAACAGGGAGATTTAGGCTGTGTGATGTGAGTTAATTAGGAGGAAGCTCACCTGTGAGGGAACAGGCAGGGCTTCTATAAAGCCAGGCGGCTGGCGACAGTGCAGGGAGAAAGACTGCAGTCCCTCTCTCTGAGGGATGGGAGAAGAAACATGGTAGGAAGGAGTCTGGGGTGAGAACATTAAGGTTCGTGTAAATGCAGACCTTGACTGTTCACTTCAGGGCCCTTGACTGGAACCCAGAGTAGAGGGTGGGCCTGGGTTCCCCTACCAACCATGGCAGATATTTAAAATTCTTTCAATTTACACAATTTGGCACACTGACTTGCCTCATAAACAGTGTCTCTTTAAAGATGAAATATAAAGATTTTACTTATCTGAGATAATTTATAATGAAAACTATTTTGCGTCCAAGATACCATCGTCTGTTTTATTGACTTATGTATGCAGAATTCAAAAGAGAGAAAAGCCCAACAAACCACATGCCCTAGCATGTTTAATACAAATGATATTGTTCATATTCGTTTGTTATACCTCAAACATACTCAAGAGAGTGGTATACATCTTCTCATTCCCATTTGCCCTGATAGTGTACACATTTCTTGCATTTGTTAGACTAGCACTATTAAAATTGCCTTGCAAGGTTTGTTTTGTTTTGCTTTTTTCCCAATAAAAAATGGGCTCACCATGAACTCTGTTTGAAGCAAATGAGAGCATGCGACTGTATCTCGCAGCTGCTGTCTTGTCAGGACCCGACTAGCTGACTGTAGATATTCCATTGCTACTTTTTCTCGTGGGGTAGGCACTGTGACAAAAGGTTCGACATTTCCCAAACTGCTCATGTCCAAAGTCAGGGAGACATTGGATCCTCGCCTATAGTGAAAAATAACAATACATTTATATTAGCTCCCTATCTAATAGTTATAAAATTGTATAATAATGCTATGCTCCTGAATTACCTATGCACTTTAAACTTCCATTGTAGCCATTGGGAGTTTTAGGTATGCACAGAATTCAAAACTGGCTTCAGTGGGAGTTTTGGGTGGGCCAAGAAGCCATAGCATGGCAGATAATTCTGGCCCTAATCTTTCAATCACTCATACATGTGAGTGATCCCACTGAATGGAACTACTCACTACTTGTAAATCATACACGTAAATATTTACAGGATCAGGGCCTCCGTCTGTGGTACATTTGACTGGAAGGATACAAAAAGAGAACAGCATTAAGTAAACATTTCTACATGGTGGGCATATCAAACTGCAAAAGCCAGATTCTTAATAGTAAATGAATCATTTAGGCACTGAGGTAGAGAAGTAGGTTTGAGGGGAAAGAGAAATGTTAGAATATTCCTTATAAGAGGTGGGGGAGAGCCAGAAGCTAAATCTTATTTACTAAAGTTCACAGATTTTGAAAAATAATATGACTCTTCTATGCCCTGTCATGACTCGAGCTAGGCCCAAAACAAAAGCTTGGGTTTGAAGACATATGAAATTTGAGAACTTTCTGAATTCCGAAGTTCTGAAGTTTGTGGCTTAGGCCCAACTCTAATCACAGTTTGTGAAAATAAGGAAAAACCATGTGACAATTTAGCAAAAACAGATAATTTTTAACCTATTCTGAAGAAACTAACTGTATTCAATGTTACAGTCTATATCTGTAGACAAGAAGATTACTGTGTAAGAAATTGAATATTGGGGACTTATCTGCTATTGATATCAATGTAAAATTCCTCTGGCATATTCTCTTTTGACATATTAATGTTGTAATATGCTGACTTGACTTGCATAGTCAGCTGAACGTGCAAGATTTTATGCAGTAAAGATAAACTGTGCATTTAAGGCCTGTTCAAAGTCTATTGAAGTCAAAGGAAATCTTTCCAGTGTGTTCAATGGGCTTTTGATCAGGCCTATAATAAAAAGTGGGGTTAAACAGAATACTCTATTTAACAAAAATATTATCTATAAAAGGTCTCAAATTAGAATGCAATGTTAATAATGTAGATTACTCAGAAACTCCTCACAACGTAGAGATATCATTCAAAGCAAAAAGCAACAAGAAAATTCCCCATCTGGCCACTTATTCAATATATCAAAAATGTGAATTTAGTGCTTGTGAAATGTGTGAAATGATACCTCTAGAGAATAAAATAAATCCGGTACAGTGTGGGCAGTGGTGGTGAAAACTACAAAACCTCACTTTGCCTATTGACAATGTGTCTCAACTCTGATATGAAGGGGATGTTTAATCTCAATTCCCATTCAATTGATGGCTTCTCTTCTAAACTTACCAACAAGGATGCCAGTTAGTACCAGTTGTGATGATGTTTTGGTATAATGTAGAAACTTGCCCACTTAGAACTGGTCTGAAACCATCAACTCACTGGACTGGCCTCGACATCAAAGGTTAACTAGCTACATTTGAGCTGATGACCTACAGATGAAATCCTCTGAATCCATCCTCTCAACACTTTTTCTCCAAATAAAGTATTTAGGGATTCTTTGAATGCTGTCATGTAACCTTTAGTGTTTTTAACAAATCAGTATGACATTAAGTAAGTTTGACAGCAAGCTCTAAAAAGGCAGGGACCTCTGAAAGAAAAGTGTGTGTGTGAAACCACCTAAATTATTCTAAATTATATTCTAGAATACAAACTATTCCGTATGATCCATTAAATCCTCATGAATCTGAAATGCTAAAAACAACCAGTCAGTGATATCAGTAAGAGTGGATGTTCCAGATAAGGAAAAAAGTAATGGTTATGTAAATGATGTAAAAGTAACCCCATTTACAGCTCATGGAAATCAAATAAAGAGTAGACTGCCTGTAACTTTAACAATCTCCTCCGATGTGAAAGATGTCTTTAATATATAGCACAGAGGAAGTGGGAGATTATAATATTCGCAGCAGACAAAAAGACAATGTAAGTGTAGTAGATGTGCAGATAATAGGAATACAGTTCCAAATCAGAGGAGGCACAAAGCATAATAAATGAGGTAAAACAGAGGCAAAGAAATGATCAGCAGACTTAGAGAGGATTGTGCACAGACACCAAAAATGTCTCACTTGAAGGACATCAAACTAATCAATGTTCTGTTTTCTGCTTCAAAGGAAAGCTTAATTCCATGACAGATTTGATCTTGAAAAATATGAAGAAAGCAGTGTCACACTTCAGGGCAACTGCCCCTGTATTCCTGCTCTATGGTCCAGCAAGGGCACCCTAGGCTCCAGGCTGCTCAGCCATTACCTTTCTTGGGTGGAGACACCCAAATAGCTGAGCTATTTCCAGGCTAAACAGCTTCCTGCCTACACTGTGAATTCCCCAACTAAGTCAGACTGCCTAAGCAGACCTGCTTTTCTTTTCTCCTCAGAGATGGTAAACAGTATAATTGCCAGAGTTATAAGTTACCACCAGCTCATTCTAAGCAAGCATATTTATTCTTAAGGCAAAAGTATTATAGAGAAAACATAAAACAACAAAAGAACCTACACACATGCTAATAAGCTTACCAGAAGTCACCCCATGACTCCAACAAGGGCTCTGGCTGCTGAACAGTCCTTTAAACCCCTCCCAGGGGTTTTCCTGGGGTTACCAGTTCATCACTCCTTTTACTCAGAACAAGAATACAGACAGGTTCAAGCCCTTCCAACCCTTCTCAGGAAGAGCCCCCCATGGACAGAAGGTCTTGTCCATTTGCTGGATCAGAAAGAAGGCCCATAGTCAGCTTTAAATCAAGCTATTTAACCAAAGGTCCTTGCTTTGTCTGCTGGTCTGGGGAGAATCCAATTTGAACCAGTATATGCGAGCCTCTGTACAGGTGACAGTGGTTTTTCTTTGGGGTGTTACAACCTGAGTGAATCTGCCTAATCACACCCCACTGTTGTTAGTTCTTGGAGGGCTGTGATGCAGAGAAAACACATGCCTGCCAACTATCTAGAGAATAGTGTTACCAGGGGCTCTGCCTGCTTTTTACGTCTTGAATTTATGTCTAAATTCCATAAAGCACTGTTCAGTGTTCAGTTATAAAAAGATAGAGAGAGACAATATAATATTCAGGTTTATTCCTTCCTCCACATATACTGTCCTCTCTCATCACACACTTCCTGAACGTAGAGTTCTATAAGTTCCTACACATTGCCCTATATATAAGCGTACTATTACACCCCATATCAGGAAGCTCTTGTAAAGCCACTCTGTCATAACAGTGAACAACTCCACTCACTTCCCTTTCTATAATCTCTAGTGGCAGTTCTTTCCACCCACTGGCCTCACCCCTCTCTCCATTGATCAATAGCTCCACCCACTCCCCTTTCCCTCTAGGATTATAAATAGTTTTATACATTTCTTATCAGTTCTTAATAGGCATGTTTCCTTTGCCTGCTGGTACTTCCACTGGGATGGTGACTCCACATTGCTCACAGTGTGGGACTGTATCAATAAGGCCTTTTAATAAGCAATGTATTACTACAGATTTATTTCCATAAGCCACATACTACTGTACAAATACGTAAGTAAGCAGTATGAGTGATGGCAGTTGCTACAAATTTTGGGGCAGTGGATTCCTCTGTAACTAGAAGATTTGTAGTTGCTTTTATTAATGCTTATCTTTTTTTTTTTTACCATCTATCTATTATTGTTAGGTTAACCCTAATTCTCCCAGATGGCAGTACTTTTCTTGGTAAAAGATGTTGCTGTCCTGTTTCCTGGACTCATCTCCCTGGAATAAGGTCTATCAGTGGTGATCACTTTTTTTTTTTTGAGCTAACCAGTCTTTCCATATCCACTAAACACTCCACTCAGTGCATTTTGTCCACTCAGGCAAAACTCTGCTTTGATGCACTATCTCCCCTCTCTTATGTACTTGCCAGTGGATCCTTTCAATAATGCTAATCATTTATTTATTTATTTTAGTATACTATTTATCCCCTGTTGTTTTACGTGAATAGAAATGACCCAGCTGTCATTTAAAAAAGTTTCTCATTTATCAAAGAAAGAAAACTTTTGCTGGACTCAGTGATGCTCAAGAGAAGACTTCCTGTACACAAGTGTATTTCAATTACACGGATGGGTGGCTTATAGCAAGAATTTGGTATCCAGGCCCCACAGATGGTGCAGTGAGTCAGAGACAGTAGCAGGTGACAGAGGCAAAACAGAGCTCAGCTGATTGTAGCCATCTCGCTGCCTTTTGGGATGGGCTAGGCCAGGGGTTCTCAACCTTTTTCTTTCTGAGGCCCCCCCCCAACATGCTATAAAAATAGGATGACCAGATATCCTGATTTTATAGGGACAGTCCCGATATTTGGGGCTCTTATATAGGCACCTATTACCCTCCATCTCCTGTCCGGGTTTTTCACACTTGCTATCTGGTCACCCTATATAAAAACTCCACTGCCCACCTGTGCCACAATAACTGGTTTTCTGCATATAAAAGCCAAGGCCAGCATTAGGGGGTACCAAACAGGGCAATTGCCTGGGGCTCCATGCCACAGGGGCCCCCATTAACTACATTGCTCAGGCTTCAGCTTCAGCCCCGGGTGGCGGGGCTCAGGGACCTGGGCTTCAGTACCATGGGATGGGGCTTTGGCTTTATGCCCTGGGCCCCAGCAAATCTAATGCTGGCCCGGCTTGGAGGCCCCCCTGAAACCTGCTTGAGGCCCCGTAGGGGGCCCCAGACCCCTGGTTGAGAAGTACTGGGCTAGGCTGCTTCACTCGGGAGGATGATAAGGCCCTCAGGAGTGGGAGGAAGATAAGAGTCTATCTGACATTTCCAGGACTCAGAAGAAACGGATGGAGCTTGATATGACAGTGAAGTTGAATGGATGGCACACAACATGTGCTTGTACCAGCCATTGCCAAAAATCCATTGCCAAAC